CAACGTTCGTTTGTTATAGTGTTTGTTATAGCGCGACTGTTGAAGTTGAGTGTATCGTAAAGTTGTATTCGGAAAGAATAAACCAGTTTTAATTTAAGAGAGGACTTGTTGTCGCTAAAGTTTCGTCGGAACGAATTTTACGGAAAATCAATTTAACAAACGGAGACGTAACAATATATAGGGTTTCACACTATACTTGATAAAAGGTTACAAAAATGTTAATAGGTGAGTCAGATAGTTGTTGTTTGACCAAGGAACAGGAAATATTAACTAAAACGAAGTGAACTGAAGCAATACCAATTTTTCACACTCAAAATTGTGAGAAATGGATATTGCAAGTCCACTTTTATTGAATGAGCATAGACATTAGGACCCGATACAAATTAGTTGCGACATAGGCCTGTTTATAAAGGTGTTTAGATACTGTAAAAATAAAAGATATAACATTGTACAGTCTTCAGTTACTTAAACCGACAGCTTCTTGTGGGTCAGCGGTAAATCTATGCACTCACAAGACAAAAATTCATGGTTCGATTCGCCGCGGTGGACAGAGTGCAGACAACCCATTATGTACATTTGCACTAAGAAAACAACAAAATGATGGGATGACTAATAAGACATTGCAAACAGAAGAAACCTTTTAACTAGACTGGTTAACAACGAAGAAGATAACTAAGATGAGCTCGAATTCTATCTAATAGCGTTATATAGGGGCCACTGATCAAACGTATGTTGAGCACGATTATGCTTTTGACTGAAACATGTCTACTGCTGAATGAAATGTACAAATGATCACCACATATTTGAAGAGAACTCTTACCATAGACGTACTAAGAATGGCCTCTCCTACTATTGGATTTCAGTATATAGTGAATCGAAAGGGACTGCTCCATAACTGATGGACGAGTTTCGTTGAAACCAACGCCGCCATGTCAAGGCACCATCCTTTGGTATGATTATCCAGTTATTGTTGTTTCAAAATAGTTGAAAAGAGGAGGTAGCACGAGTGATAGTAATCGTAAAATTACAGAAGACAATTAACCGACCATACTGTAAGGCGTATTAGGGTTGCTTCTCTCACAATATATCTTCGGACCTAAAGTTTACGAGTTCTTATTTTCATTTCATTAGATATTAACACTTGTTTGTGGGATGAAGTTTTCACTTTTTGCCTATCTCAGGTACGATGAGTTGATCATAGTTTGAGATGCACTGACGTAGTTAGTTAAAGCAGAGAGCGCACCGCAGGGTCCACGTCTCTATATTTGTGTGCTTGCTGCAGGCAATTCTATATTGGGTCAACGACTCGAACCTTAGCTACCAGAATCAAGGAGCATGCGCATAACAGTCATTTCAATAACTTTGGAATTTAAAACCATCTAAGTGAAGACTGTAAAGAAAAACCGAACAGTAAACACTTCAGAATAATAGACTCAGTGAAAGATGAATGGACGCTAAGAAAAAAGGAATCACTCCTAATTCGTAACCTACAACCTAAGCTGAACAGTCAACTAGCTACGTCACTGCATCTCAAACTATGATCAACTAATCGTGCCTAAAGTTTATGAGGCTTCTCCCTGTATCAGGACATTTAATTCACAATGTTGTTAGTACTGCCTACGTTCCTACCCTTTCATGGCGTGTGACCTGAAAAACCACTAATGAAGCTGGGTGCTTTTCTATCTTCTGATGGATACTAGAGCCAAGCTCAATCTTAAACTATTTCTTCTCTCCTATATCATATGTTCTCTAATCCCCCTCCCACGCCAGTCTTGCCCAACATTTCCCATGAGCGTCATTCATGAACAATGCTTAATTTATATATAGAGAGAAAAGTAACGGGCCTCTTTTGTGGTGAAGGGTATTTTGAGTATTGAAAGAAACAATTTAAACATTATTGAGGTTATTGTTTGGGATGGAGTTAAAGTGGAGTAATGTAGTTGACTGTGTAAGTTAAATATCAATTCGCAATGAAATCAAAGCAGTCTTAAAATTAAGTTAATAGAGTTTCCATATTTAGGTAAGAAAAACTTCAAAACATGTTCCGAATCTCACAGTAGGAGAGATTCAGGAGAAATTAAGCCTTGTCCATGCCTAACCTGGACCATTCCATGTACGTCTATGGTAAGAGTTCTATTCAAATATGTGGTGATCATTTGTACATTTCATTCAGCAGTAGACATGTTTCAGTCAAAAGCATAATCGTGCTCAACATACGTTTGATCAGTGGCCCCTATATAACGCTATTAGATAGAATTCGAGCTCATCTTTTGGGTATTGTATGCTTTGAACAAACCTTCTATAGAGATAATCGATACGTTTTGAAATAAATTAGGCAGTACCAAACAATACACACTTCATACACGTAATATAAATGAACCAATCAAAGGATGATATGTTGTTGAAGTAATAATACAATTACATGATTTTCAGGACACGCACATGTAAATGATACGATATGATTGAAAAATAGACTCACTTTAGAGATTCTTTTGATATGATGCCCATGTGAGCCATTTACAATAATGAAACACGTGTTAACACATATCACTGAAATTATAATGTTCCAACACTCTTTGAGTTTACAAGTTAATTTTGTAACAAGTTTTTCATCCGTGTCATTCTATAATTTTACAACAAAATCACTTTCTCTTTTAATCTTTCCCAATTTCAAGTTTACTCTACCACATTATGGTTATGATTACATAGTTTATTTGTATATTTTTTATGAACAAAAAACAATAAAACTTCGAATACAAAATACAAGATAGGTTAATGCAATGTGTTTGAATATATACGTAATTAAAGCCATAAGAACATTTTAAATGAAATTTTACTTAATGGAAATTAATTGTGAAAAAAATCTACATAAGTTCCCTATAGGAAATTAAAAAGTTTAACTAAAAAACCGTTAGAATATATATTAATACCCACAAAAGATTTAAATTACTAACACCTGACGCTTTTATTTTTAGGATCAATGAATAATTGGATACTGCACATCGTAATCCGAGAGTAAAAACAACTAATATAAAAACCAAGTAAACAACAAGTACTTTCTCTCTTTGTAGACTTCATTATATCCAACACGTTAAAACCGAACTTAACGTAAAAATATTTACCTGTTCTATAATGCAACAGGAGTGTAACTTATCAGGAGTTAAATAATTTTGTAAACTGAACATATTGCTTACTGAACACGATCTCGATATTAACTTACTGCTGACGCACGAACTAATAAACTTAGAGGACTTTCTCACACGTTATTCATAACTGGTTATCGGATTCTCCAGTTTAATAACCACTACTAAATCTGTCAATAACCTTTCCTTACATAATTTATAAGAGTAATTTATAATAATATTGTCAAAATATAACTGCTAGAACAAGTCTAAACCTAGGATTTTCATATTGTACAATGGTAACTATAATTGTAAAAACTTCCAAACACATAATTGAAAAATGACAGTTTCTCTTTAAAACTATCACAAAGAATAAGGTCTTAGTAACATATGTTACTATACAACAATGCCTCTTTCTTAAATATTATTCTCTTTAACAGTAAATTACGATCTGTATTTATGAACGTGCACGTGAATCACATCTTGTAGAACGTTCTATTGACACCTTATGCTAACAATCGAAAAAAAAGAAAGATACTGGTGTTAAATTCTAGCATCGTGTGTTACTTTTGTTTGCAACTCTTCAGTAGAATTAGTAAGTCTTGATCTCACATCTTCTGTGTTTACTCTAATATCCGAATAACTGATTCAACTCTGTAGAGTTCCACCATCTTATCTAAAAAAGGGCAGATGTCATCTATTTCGATTTGCTCTAATTCTAATAATTCACACATTTTGTCAAACACAAGAAAATTGGCATCCAACGTGTACTTCATACACTGAAATAATTCACTGATCAATAGTTTGACAAGTATTTCAGTTTTAAGGCTGAAAAACACTGTGGCACAGCGGTATGTCTGCGGACTTACAACGCTAGAATCCGGGTTACGATACCCGTGGTGGGCTGAGCACAGATAGCCCATTGTGTAGCTTTGTGCTTAATTACAAACAAACAAACAAAACTTTTTCAATAATCTATTACTATCCTAATGTATTTGTTTGTATAATTCAACTTTGAGTGTAAAAAAAGAAGATTATCAGCTACTCAGTATTTTATTTTAATTATTTTGCATTCATTTTCTATCCATATAGCAGGTTTCGATTCAGTACTACCACTTCATAAATCGGTAGTAGCTTTTCGGGTTAGACTAAACGGATGTGGAGGAGAGTGCAGTTAACCTTTTGAGACAAAATAACCCATGTCAAACACAGGTAAACCATTAATTGAAATTTCTTCATAAGTAACATATAGTCAATTATTAACTTATTATGTAACATCCTGAAAACCTCATACCCCCCCCCGGTGAAACAAATATTGACACCTCATGCAATGGATACAACTTTTTTACCTAATATAATTCACGCGTAAGTTGAAGGTCAAACACAACTAAACGTATGGGTAATATATGCTTTGAACTAATCTTCTATCAGTAAGTTGAAGGTGAAACACAACTAAACTTTTGGGTATTGTATGCTTTGAACAAACCTTCTATCAGTAAGTTGAAGGTCAAACACAACTAAACGTATGGGTAATATATGCTTTGAACTAATCTTCTATCAGTAAGTTGAAGGTGAAACACAACTAAAATTACAGCAGGCAGGAAGCCATTTTGTTTATCAACGCCTCGTACAATTTCATTATCTAGTAGGATGGACATACTGGAAGAATAAATCATCCTCCTTTTTTATAGTTACTTCCTTTGTACTTCAAAACTTTTGGCTATTTTTTAAATATTAACCTCTGCCAAACTCACTGTGGATGATCCACACTTGTGGACATATTTATCGTATACAGGTTAAAGGCATATATATATTAGTTATTGTTTATTTGTAACAGAAAACTTCAGACAAGTTACAGATATTCAGTCTTGAGGTCACATTAAGATCAAAATTATCGTAACGTCACAGAAATGCAATGCCATTTTATTCCTTTATTAACGGCGGTCTTGGGTTTTGGTTATGTATTAATAATAAATTGACTCCAAATTTACTAAGTAGCTCAAATAAGAAAAAAAAAAGTAAAGAAAATGTCTGTTTATTTATTACAACCACGACCTTTAGATCTGCACGTATTCCTCTGGGGCTCACCACAAATTTTAAGGACTTACGACGATAAATTTCTGGGGTTGGTTTCTCTGCAATGGATAGGTTAGGTTTACGCTAACAATAACAACCCAACTAACATATGTAAGATTGTACATGCATATATAACTTCAAGATAAGTGATCACATTCACAGAATATTTCTTGCTTTTTATTGATTATCTGGATCATACAACGTTATCAAACCCATCGTTATCTCTGCTATAAGTTCAGCACTGTGTGACAATCCCAGCGGTTGCACCGACAGGTACTGAGATCTCATGTGAAGATTGGCTGCTTTGCCGATGTTACTAATTGCCTTGTGGCTGTATACTTTCCTACTGATTCTTTATTTTTTGCATTTCCTGTCTACACCATATTGTACTTTATATATAATCAAACTTAGTACCATTGAATTTGAAGTTTCTTGTTGTATTAATTGTCTACACCTTTCTTTTTAAATAAGTTGAGACATTCATTGAACAAGTTAACTACTGACTTCACACACACATACACAAACAACACGTGTTCACCCTAATAAAGTCCCTGGAGGAATAGCGGTAAGTCTACGGAGTTACAACTCTAAAATCAGGGGTTCGACTCCCCTCGGTAGACATAGCAGATAGCCAAATGTGGCTTTGCTATACAACGCACAAACACCAGTAATAATCAAAAAATATTACTAAAACTACTGAAAACCAGTTTTGAAAGTTGCAAACATCTGGAATTGTTACAGATTACATATATATTTATATCGTTGAATCTTTTTGGTCACCTCCAGTAATTATGGCTATACCACTCAACTTAGAATCCCGACACCAAACACATATTGTATTGCAACAAGCTTCTGTGAGGGATGGCGAGGTGAATCTTAGAAAACAACTCTTGATACATTTTCCATCGGCTTCTAAGGCCACGCTGTAACAAACCAAAATCATAACAGTTAATTAGAGATGCATCCGGGGACTTACCAGGTACGATGTCGACTCGGATCGCTGTGATTTTAGTTTCTTCTGCCATCTTTCACATAAAAATAACCGTTTGTATTCGAGGTGTGGATGAAAGCTTGTGAACCTTCGTCAGCCACCCACCAGTGGCACAGCGGTATGTCTGCGTACTTACAACGCTAGAATCCGGGTTTCGATACCCGTGGTGGGCAGAGCACAGATAGCCCATTGTGTAAATTTGTGCTTAATTACAAACAAACAAACCTTCGTCAGCTTCAAATTTGGTACTACTAGATTTGCCCAACTTTATTACAATCACTTTTTGGGTTGGAGGGTTCTCTTTATTAACCATAGTCTTCACTTTGCAGATGAGAACATTTCATAGGATTGGAGTCCATTGCTGCTTTAAACATCTTTTTTCTATGAATTTTTTCAATTCTTTGGGAACACTGAAAAATCTCTTTTCTGTAACGGTTTATAATTTGGCTTTTCATAAGTTGACAATATCGCTATACGAATATCAGTTTCTGGTTAGTGCTGCGATATATTTACTCAGTCAGCAATCGAATACATATTTAATTGCTAAATATGTTGCCCGTGTTGCCATGGCTCGCATCTGCAGTAAACATGTTACTACATCCATTGGCATATGCGTTTCAATCTTGTAAAATTTGATTACCTTCTGTCTATGATTAGAAACATTAACTGTTCGTTTTAAGCTGAACCTTTTTTTAAAACTGATTTTGTTTAAAATAGAATACAAATATTTATGTATTTTTTAAATTTTTACTTAACTATAGATGAGAGTGAAGACTATGAATAATGACGAAGAAAAACTGAAACAGGTCTTGCTTATGGTTTGTATTTGTAACCTGAGAAATTAAAATAAATACATATCTTTGTACTAAATTACGATTAGCTTGTAAAATATTCAGCAAACTTTGAAATAGCTGTTGTTTTTATACCTTTAACGACAAATGACTATAAAGAGACTTTTTCAATTGTTTAAATACACTATTTTATGAATGCAAAGTAATTATTGGAAATACTAAACACTAAGTCAGTATTTCTAGCGCAGTTTATTTTAAGGTAAAATGTGGTTTTATTTACTCTTACTATTCATCAAAAAAAGAGGGAATTTGTCTGTAATACTAGTTTAACAGCATAAATGTATTGATATCTATACTTTTGTTACAGATCTGGTTGAGATTATTTTAAGTGTTATGCCAAATAGACCATCAAGCTTTTTATTATCTAAAGCTAGATTCTCTACTGTTTGACGATGGCTAAAAAATACTATTTCCAAGATATTGATCTATTTACTTTCTTTTATTACAAGAAATGTTATGTGGTAGAATATCCATCGATACCGTCGGTCGTAATACATTTTTAAAGATTTTTTATTGTATATTTCGTAGACAGTTATTGTTAAATATAGTTTAATTTTTATGTTAAAATAATTATGTTACCGAAAATCAGATATTTTGCGTTCTGTTAAGTAATTCTTTTTGCGAATATTTAGAAAAAAAAAGGTCTAATTATATAAATTTCTTTTATATTTTAATTTTGTTTCATATTATTTTGATTTGCAATCAAATTGTGTAATTTTGTTCTCTGGACGCCTTTATTAACCTTATAAAACAAATCACAGAACTTTACGTTTTTGAAATATAAACAAAGAACGTCGAATAGCAGTTTGTGAACGACAAATACATGTGTTAGTTTAGTTCAATTCATAAAGTTAATTATTAAAACAAACTTTTGCTTTAGATTTGAATGAACGTGGTACAAATTTTAGGGATACTTTTTACGACTTATCTTCATAAAAACAAAATTTACACTACATGGGACAAGCGTATATTTAATCTTTTGCAAATCGACAAGGTTCGATTTACAAAGTTCGAGTCGTGATGCCGCTGAACATGCTCCGGACATAAAAAGCTATGGGCACGTTATGAAAGTGGCAATTATTCCTATTATTCAGTTCAGAGATCCAGACAAAGCCATTGTAATAATGGGTAAGGCGTTTCATTTAGACAGTATGTCATATAAGGTGCCATTCATGTTGAAAATTCCTATTCCATTCTCTTTAAGTCTGTTTTATTTTCTCTGCACGTTGGCTTTGTTAAGTGAGCACGAAGACGTCAAGTTAGAAAACTAGTTTTTGCTGAAGATAAATCGTAGAATTTATTATTAAAATGCTGAAGTATAGTTTCACAATAAGAAACAAACTAAACTAAACTTAGATGAATGTACCATGTGAAAAACAATAAAAAATGAAATGATAAGAATGTGTGTGTGTGCAACTAGAAATGAGACTTTTAATCATATAGGTTGTTGTCACAACTGTAGCTATCAATCACTTTTGTTTTGCTCGATCTTCTGTCCCTCTAGTGATAAGAATCAGAAACATTGCACATAGTGTTTTATACGTTACGTTTACATTAATAATTTATGGAACTTGCTTTGAAATAACAAAAAGAATTGTCCACTGATGGGGCAGCGGTAAATCTACGGGGTTACAGCGCTAAAATCCGGGCTTTGGTTCTCCGCGGCTGACACAGCAGAAAGTATAATGTGAATTTACTCGAAAACAAATAAACAATTAAAAGAATTCTAGAGTTTGGGCTACTCTGATGATCAAGTTCCTTCTTTGAAGCTAAGGAATCTTATTAGACTTCAGTAGTGTAACTCCCTATACACTATCTAACCAGCGAAGAGTGACTGTTAAGAGTCGTTAACTAAAAAACAAATAGCAAACAATCATTGGTCTGACAGCCCTTATCATTATTACTGTATAAAAACTATGTGCTTTACTTTTCGCTACGACTCCCGTAGCCTGTGAATCTCACCAAAGCCGGGAAGGCCCATGCAACTGGGACTAATACACAAATGTATTGTAAAGTCAATAAAGTGAAAAAGAAAACAAAAACATTCAGGTGAACAAATCTATGTCACTAAAATCACAAAAAGTCAGTTATTACGCTCATTTCCCATCGCTACTAAACACAGTTACGTCCCTTGATCAATATAGTGTATCTTTTGCATCGTCGTTCTTTATACTTTGACGTTTTACACGTTTACATCTCTAAAATATGTCAAATGTTTCAAATTTTTTCAGTAAATAAGATTTTTTTTAAAGTTACGAATCTCTCATATTGGTGACTTTTTACTAAAATAAATGTTTTGGTGCTTCTTGTCGTTTCATGTCGCTAATTAGTAAAACTGTATTTTAGAAACTCAGTTGTGAATTTTTGATTCCTCTCTTGAAATACACCAAACATGCTCGCCCTTTCAACTGTGGGGGCGTTATAATGTCACGATCAATCCCACTATTCGTTGGTGAAAGAGTAGTCCAAGAGTTGGCGGTGGGTGGTGATGACTAGCTGCCTTCTCTCTAGTCTTACACTACTAAATTAGGGACGGCTAGCGCTGATAGCCCTAGTGTAGCTTTGCGCGAAACTCAAAAACAAACAAACAAACAAATCCATACACGAATTACGAATCAAATGTTAAACATTAGTTTTAAAGCGTAATAAAAACCATCAAATCAAAATATCATTACTCATCTATATCAAGAGGGATAAGCGATGCAGTGAACCTTTAAACAAATAAAAAAACAAAGTTTAATTAAATAGTCTATAATATATCGTTAGCAGTTTACCTAAAATTGAAACTGAAATAAATTAAATGAGCATGTCTTTATTGATGTTGCACATTTTAGTGAGGAAAATAATTTTTTTATATATTTAAACACTTTACTAAAATTTGTATGAGCAGTTACTTGCATGATTGCTTTGCCTTTTTATCAAGGAAAGTGAAAAAGAAACACATCATTTTACAATCAGTCACGTAACATAAGGCTAAGTAAAAAAAAATCCTGGTTTTTCATTAGATATTTTCAGAATCCCAAAAGAGTTTTGTTTAAGACCCTGATTAACATGCTACTCAAATGATGAAATAAGGTATGTATGTGTGTGTGTATATATGTATATATACATATCGCCGCCATTTACTATGTCGACCACACCTCTAGGCGATACCAGATAAGAAAAATGTTGTAAGTTGCTTCTTTGTATAAGTGATGCTTCAATCAAACATTTAAAAATAGACACGGGAATTTCAAAACTTGAAAATATAATTTTAAAACAATTCGCCTCTGGAGCAATTTCTATAAAAGAAGCTGATGAGTAAATTTTTTTTTTTTTTTTTTTTGGCTGGCATATTTTCCTATTTGAATAAGAAGTTACAGAAGAACAATTTCATTAAATAAGTTATGTTTGTGAAGTATCTCATGCTTTATAACTTTAATTGAATTATGTTAAACTTAGATTGTGCTGAAGGAAACCTCTCAACTGTTAAAGAAATATGTACTACGAAGATACCTTATATCAGTAAGTTGAAGGTCAAATACAACTAAACTTTTAAGTAATGTGTGCTTTGAACTAACCTTCTATCAGGCGGATGGGGGTCATTTTCTTTTCGGAATAAACAAATGTTTACTGTCTAAGTATCATTTTTATAAAATTTATTAAAGAAGTTCCATAGTTGTTGGAGAATTCGGTTGTATAAACATTTTTACAGCCTAAAGATAAGGGTCCAAAATTAAAAGATGTAAAAATGAATGTGCCAAACTATACACAAATAAAGTATAGTTAAACTCTTTCGAAACACGTTGATTATCAGAGTACCTTGCTTTAGCATTTTTGATGAAAATAGCTAAACATACAATGTGAAAAAGACAATAATTAGTTACGAAGGAAATATTGTTTTGTTTTTGTTTTTTTAAATTTTGCGCAAAGCTACACGAGGGCTATCTGCGCTAGCCGTCCCTAATTTAGCAGTGTAAGACTAGAGAGAAGGCAACTAGTCATCACCACCCACCGCCAACTCTTGGGCTACTCTTTTACCAACGAATAGTGGGATTGACCGTCACATTATAACGCCCCCACGGCTGAAAAAGCGAGCATGTTTGGTGGGACGGGGATTGGAATCCGCGATCCTCAGATTGCGAGTCGAGCGCCCTAACCACCTGGCCATGCCGGGACTCATTGTAGATAATGAAATAACTATGATGTTTGTATTTGTTTGGGTTTAAGCGCAAAGCTATATGCGCTGTGCCCATCGCGAATATCAAACTCTGGTTTTTAGCGTTATATCTCAAGTTTACCACTGAGTCACTAGAAAACAGCTAAGATGCGAATATATATATACATATAAAGTCAAAATAATTAATGATATGAAGAACGCCGTGTACACAACAAACATATAATGTCTGACATGTGATGTAAAATCCTTTTATACAAATTCCAAAGTACAATCTTTGGTCATTTTAATACATTAAGTTTACAAAGTTCTTCAGCTCAGTTTCAGTATAACATTACGTTTTCAGAGTAGCGAAGGATATCTATTCATTTCGCTATCCAACTTTTCTGTGCCAGAG